TCGGATAGTTATAACATATAACTTCAACAATCGATTATTCGGATTTTTTATTTTCCGGTGTACTATCTGTAACTAAAAAGCTAAGAGCACGTAATTTTGCAGAATTGTCCTGTAATACATACTTAACAATGACAGTGAAAATAAAGAAAATCGGACAACTATAACGTATACCTTCCATACAAATTATTCAGATTTTTATATTACTCACAATTTTGCGGAATCGTCTTCTTATAAATGCAATCACTACTAACAGAAATCACAATTTCCATGTGATCCACGCATTTTATAGATTACATCGATGCAAAACTATGCATACTATTGATGGATTGCAGAATATTTCTAACGGCATAGAACCATTTGTTTGCAATTATTTCATAAGCGCACATAAAAGTATGTGCTTCAAATAGACATTAATACCTTTGCCAGATATAACTTTTTTTACAAGAGAGTGGAGCTCCACTGTAGCAGACAGAAAAAACGAATAATTAAGTCGATAAATACCTATCAAAGTATTTAAGTTACAATGATTATTGTTATGGTTATATACAGTGAACCAAAAAAAAAACTTGTACATAAAGGTGTTTCGACTTTGAAGCGATATTTCTCTTAAATTATTTCAGCTTTTAAGCTGCAACTAAGAGGAACAATATGCGGATCTTATGTGTTTTTCGTATTTTTATAAACATTTTAATGATGTTTGATGTTAAAGATGTCAAAAAATTAAAATATCTCCTTTATGAAAGGCAAAAAAAACTTGTACACTCACGTTGGAAGGAAGTTAAATGCAGTTATTAAGTAGGTACCGTTATTTTTGTCTGGTATTATTTGCGTATGGTCAAAATGTAATCAATTTGTTAGCGCATTTATTTTGTGCGGTAGTAGTTTTTGAAGAAAAAAATAGTTAATAAGTAAACATCTAAAAAAAAATTCACATACTATTATTCAGTAGATAATTTTTATATTCAAAAGGACTGATGGAGTTGGAAGACTTGATGGTAGTGGAACACGGAAACAAAATGTACACACACCAGGCTGAAAATAAAGTTGCTCTGAGTATCAAGGAACACCCCAAAATATCCGCTGTCGCTAACGTCGAGGAGTTGGAGGAAGATGGCATTGCAAACCTACACCCTCAAACTGCTTGGAAATATTGAGAAACATTTACTATATTTCAAGGAGTATATCCACCGTGATAACGAATTTTGTGATTCAGTAATTTTTACCAATGACTTTAAATTTAATATTTTTGGATCTGATGGTTGTCGATTTATATGGCGCAAGAAGCGACAAGAGCTAAAAGATAAAAAATTAAATAATACTGTCAGAATGAAGGAGGCTGCATTGTGGGGGCAATGAAAGCAAAAAGGGTGCGGTGGGAGCAAATGGCGTCAGTAACCTAGTTTTCATCGATCTCCTCCTTGTACAATTTTTGAAGTGCATACTTCTTTGGCCGCATCAGAGTGATTTTTCAAGGTCGCGTCACGACACTTTTCAAATTTCTGTCTCGCTTTTGTTTTGCTGTGAGCAGCTACGGGTGTGTGTGTGTAGCCATAAACATATTATAGCAATGCAGGTTTTGCGCTCACTCTCCGTCATACATACATATATTTTTATACGTATGCTTCACTTCGGAATCGTGCGGGTCTCAAACGCTGAACACCTAGCCAACGACAAGCGACAGGCAGCATCTGTCAAATATTAAAATACAGCTGGACAACTAATATGTCAAATGTAAAATTATTCAAAGTTCTAACAAGTCTAACGTTTTTTTACCAACAGAAGCATAAAATAGCTCTTATATATCATTTGTAATATAATTAATACCGTAAAATAAGTGAATCGATTTAATTTACTTTTTTTTTGCACAAACATTTCACTTTGAACCAAATATTTAAATTTCAATGAAGTGAAAGGTTTTAGTACGGCAACAACGAAATTGTGTGCATCAGCTATTTGACATGTCGCTGCCGTCTTCAAATATTCAAGAAGCTGGCTTCAATACCGTCCGTATAAACGAAATTTGTCAAAAGTTATGCCCGTAGTGACAACGGAGAAATCAAATGTCCTCTTTTGTTTTCTTTGAGCACTGTTGCCATTGCTCAATTTATATAGATGGTTTTGTACATATTTAGCTTATCAGTTATAATTTTTCTTAATGTAAAATATTAAAACTAAAATCCAACTTTTAAAAATAATATTCCTATTTATAAAGAACAAGCTGTATCTGGCGTGCCCTGCTACGCCCCTTTTTGTACTCTCAACATGTTGCTACATAGTTTAATAGTTTTGTTCACGGTTTTTGTGTCATAGTTATATACGGATATCAGGATGACGAGGCGAGTTCAAATATGTGTGGAAAATCTGTTCATCCTATTGAAATCCTCGTTAAATCCATTTTTTATGATCTACGTGCCCAATTGCGACGAAATTAGGTTTATAACATTATGAGATTACCATATTACGGTATGCGAATTCGGTCTACAACCACGCGTACTTATCATATAAAACAATTTTAAACTTCTGATTCTGTCACTTCACAGTATAGACATTGAGAGCCAAGAAAGATATCGGGTTAAAACTTTACAAAAATAGTGCCGTTTAGATGTGACGTCCATTTTATTCAAAAAATTTTTGCAGTAGCTATGTGATGTTATTTTATTTTTTTGAAGTGTAAATAAAAAGACTTCATTTAATACATATGTACAATTTAATGCAAAATCAACAGTGATTTTGCAAAAACGGCCTCCGTTAGGACCTTCTGCAAGAATAAACGAAAAAGTTTGCAAATTTTCACGTCTTTCCGTGCTGTGGGTCGTACGTTCTACCGTTACATAACGAAATATCGTTTCTTTTCAACACGCGTTTATTAGCTTGGGTTGTACTTGTATGTATGTATGTTATAGAATCTTAGAGCTTAATTTTCACTGGTTTCCAGAAGTCTGATCAACTTGCAACTTTGAACACGTGTCAAGGACCAATGGCAATGCAATAATTTGATAACAGCTTCCCATTATTTTAAAAGTGCGCGTAACCCCGCCCCCTAAATAGTTTAATGTATATATCTTCCAAACCGCTAAAGCTAACTCAACCAAATTTGCTGCGAGAATGTCCCTACAATAGTTTTAAAAAACTAGAAAGCATGCATTTCAACTAAACTGACAGAAATATTGACCGAAAAATATTAGTATTATTGTCAGAAAAGTGGATGGTGGGATGGTTGGTTCCATATTTTTCGTATATCGAGCGCATCACACTTTTCTCACAATAATACAATAAGGCATTATTTTTCACTTTTTAGTTTGAAATGGTTTAAAAGCGTGTTATTTAGTTATTTTAAACTATTATTATTTATATATAAGATGACTTTATGTGACTGTGATGTTAGTTAAAGAATATTTCGAATAGATTCAAGTTTATTTTTTAATTTCCACAAAATATCGAGACCGGCAATATTGCGTTGTAAGAGAAGAATCAGCTAACCCGTTTGTACGGAAAAAAACCAACTTTCGCAGATATCCCACGTTACGGACAGTAAAAGGGGTGGTGAGTGTTTATTTTCAATGTGCCCTGTGTCGGTCACTAACTGAAGCATTAGAGTACAGAAGGTGGCGGCAACAGCATAAGCTGAATGGTAGAATACAAGATTACACCAACTGCCATCTTGTGACGTAATTCTTTTGAGTAAAAAAGAAGAAGCATAGAACAGCAAGTAAATTGTAAACAAAAATGCAAACACTTTTGTTAATTCTAGAATGGATTTAATTTATTTGTTTATAGTGAAATTAATAGAATAATGTTTTAATAAATACTTTTATCTATTTTATCATTTTACTAATTTTATTATCAACATAATTGTCAATTAACTGAATGATTAAGTAAGATAAAAACTAGTATCGAAGGATAATGGGTAACTACAACAAATGACGATTCACAAAAAGTTCGTTTTAGATATGAAAGTTGCCACGCTCTATTCTATTTAGAATCACAAACCTGTGTTTCATACTTCAGTTACCATAAAGCCATAATAGACTGAAGATAATGTACAAATTGAAGAAATAAATTAAATATTAAATTTGGATACCATATCTTATTATTTCGATTATCCTTGTAATATGTACAATGCAACTCTCTCTCTTACTCTCACTCTCACTCTTAATGAATTGGTAAAGAAGTATTCACTTCTATCACGTGTACTGTGCTGCACGCGACTATTTTCTTTTTATTCGCTGTATGTAATTCAATGTTTCCAAAACTAAAAAAGTGTTAAAGTAATGAAATTTGTGTGGTGTACGTTTGTTTCCGATTTTGGTAACGAAACCGCTAAATTTCACATAAACGAGATATTAAACAAGTCGTTCCTCCAAGGTCGTCCTCCGAGAAGGTCCTCCGCCTTACAGTTTTCTATTTTTTTTATCATATGATTATTTATAGCAAAATTCAAATCTCGCTTCCAACTACTTGAAAAAATATCTCGTTTCAAAGATTTTGTAGAATATTAAATGCTCTACAAAAAATTCTCATACGATTTTTTCGTGTTTCAGAATATCGAATTTTTGGATAAAATTAAGATAATCGAACATATTTTTGAATGCTTCGTAAACGATATACTGAATTTAATGCATAAAGTTTGAAAACTGTCGCATATTACATATTATTTTTTAATATAAAGATGCTAACAACTCGAAGGACACGCCCAAACTTCCAACAGCCTGCAACGGCTATATTTTTTTTAAATTTAATGCTGGTAGCAAGTTCACATCCGATTCCCTCTGTTAGTTTACCTGATAGTTTACCTTTTACCTGATGCGAATTTTTGGGTTTCGAATAACACCTACATACCATATCTACATATTATTTTATTTGATAATAATTTTCATACCTAATAATAATCGGAAATAAGGTATTTTTGTTGGTTATATACGCATAGAAGAAACATTCATAATAAAGTTGTTACCAAAAAGTAAATAGGGTTTTTTAGAACTATTTTTACACCTTTTCAGATATTTAAGGAGACTCTGCATTTTTACTGGGTGGCCTTTGCTGGTCTATTCTGAAGCGCGGTATTTTTTGGGCCATATATCAGTCACAATGAACACTTCTAATTTGATATTGCTCACCTTTAGCAGAACTGATCCTGACCAAATGAAATGGAACTAAGCTTAGCTTAACTAAGCGTACGGTGGGTATAGCAGCAATCAAATAACGCCCCAAATCAGTGAAAAAAATATATTAACCAATATTCGCTTAAGTAACTATAATTCAACCGCCCATAAGCAAAACTTGTGAATATTTATATATTTTTCACCTTCAATTATTATGGAACATGCATAAAATCATATTGGTACTTATAATAATTATTGGCAAAATTTAAAGCGGAGAATAGTAAATCTCTACAAAACATTTTCGGGCCCTCAATAATAGATGGTTCACATACAACTTTGGCCTCGCTTTGCAGATTACTTTGATTTTTCAGATAACTTTAATATATGATTATTACTCATACATAATCATATATTGAATGTATTGTGTATAAAAAGCTAAAAGGCGAAGCAAAATGTAACGCAAGTCTCATCTCTTCGTGCATTTGTCGCATGTCGCATCACAGCTCTCTATATTTACATACATACATAAGTAAGTACATTTTTGTTTTTGTTTTCATTTTTATTTGTTATTGCTTATACTTTATACGCCTGTCTACTATACCTATTTCAATATCAACAACAAATGAATAATTTTTTAATAATTGAATGTGCCAACCCAGATTTGAATTCAATACCTCTGATCTGTATACGCGTGTCTATTGTCTCGACCAAAGCATGTGTTTGATGTTTATGGACTAGCAGTCTATATACATATAAAAATATGTTAGGATATATGTCCTGGCTTACGATCACCAACCGCGTACATCAATAGATTGGTGTGAAAAAAAATTATTAACACTGGGCTGCCAGTAAGTATGAATACGTTTATTCATATGTATGTTATACTATTTTTCAACTTGATGATAACAGAAAACTTTTAGTTGCATCAATTATATCAAATAATATTATATCATGGATTTTTTTAGTTTTTATCTAACTCCACTTGCAACGATTTAAATTCTTCTTAGTAATTAATATGCGTATACAGGCCCGACGAGAGGGTCGTGGGTGATCACCCTTGGGCCCAAAGTTCTCGAAGGGGCCCGTATTTTCCAAAAAATTAAGTGAATAGTTAGTTAGTTAGTAAAAATTAGAATGTTTTTGATTCGAACATTTTTTTAAACGTTATGATTACCGATAAAGGAACGTTTTCTCGTTTTTGTAGATTGTCACGAAAAAACCGGCAAAGTTATTGTCGCTTTAATTTGCAAAACATGGCAGTAATATGAGCGGTAAATATGAAGGATCGCAAAATCATATCCAACGTAAAAAAAAGTGTGCAGTTCTTTCGCTCTGTTGTGCCCACACGCTGAATTTGGCTAGTATCGACTCGGCTGAATGCTATCCTCGAATAATGACTTTTTTTGGTGTCGTTCAAAATGCTTCAATATTCTCAGTAGCAGCACACAACGTTGGGATATTCTGAAATTCAAAATACCCAATTCACTTGTCTTTGACTCTCTAATACAAGGTGGTCTGCCAGAATTGATGCCGTCAAACCTTTAGCAAAAAATCTTCCCGCATTGATAAACACTTTAAAAGAAGTTAAAAGACTCAATCTTACAGGAGAAACTCATCGAGACATTGATGAAATCTTGAAATATATGAACAAATTTGAGTGCGTTTTAATGGCTTTCATATGACTTAAAATCCTTCAGTCATTCAATGAAAGAAACTTCGTTCTTCAAAAAAATCAACGCCACCATCGACGCTATAGTTAAAAGTATGGAAACCCTTCTTGTAGATTTGCAATTTCTGTGCGACTAGTGGAAAACAATTTATAATGAATAATAAATTGTTGCAAATGATTTAGAGAATGTCGAGACGAGCAAGAAAAAAACACGGAAAGAAGTGGATGAAAATTGCAGTAAAAAAAATGTAACTCAAAAGAATCACTTTTTACGAATTGAATTCAAAAGAAACACTTTCTATTCGTACGTCATACTTGACAGTGTTATATGTGGAATGAAAAAAAGATTCGCCGCATAAGCGAAATTAACGAATCGTTCTCATTTCTATTAAAAAAGAACTCAACGCAGCTGCAAAAGAATTTTCTAAAAAATATTCCGTTGATGTATGTAATAATCCAATGAAGCTATTCGCTTAAGATACGTTTACAATGCAAATTTTGAAACGTCTTACCGAAACTCGTCTACAACTTATTGAACGCCATCAATGCTTGACAAAAAAAGACTTTTTCCAAATATATGTATCGCTTTGAGATTAGTTTGCACTTTACCCGTTTCCATTTAAAGTGGCGAACGTTCATTTAGTGCTTTGGCAAGAATCAAAAATTGTCATCAATCATGCTCGTCACAGGTCAGAATATTAGGACTAGCTATTATCGACGCATTCGTTAAAGCTAAAGTTCGAAAAGCTCACTACTAAGTTCCAAATAGTTGAAGATTGGAGGATTTTAAACCGCATGTTCACAAACTTAATCATGATAGTCAAAAGATTTCAAAAGAACTGTTTTTTCATTAATTAGATCGATAATTACATGTTTGAAGGAGATGTTCAACATCAACAAAAAAGAAAATTTAATACAGATGTGATGAAAGCAATCAACACTACGTCGCATTTGACTTATTCTTCAAAAACATTAAAGTAGTAAGTGGGAAGATAGTTTTTAAAATTTATAAAGTATTAGAAATATTCCTGTAGGCACGAGGCCCCTCCTTTTTACCCTTGGACACGAAATATGATTGTTGCCCAAGGCAACGGTACAATCTCCGAAAAAATTGTTCAGAGTGATCCACTATAGCATATAGCTGCCATACAAACTGAACGATTAAAGAGATATTTTCGCGAAATTTGGCATGTATTATTATCCAAAGCAATAGTACGATTTCCGAAGAAATTGTTATGATTGGACTAGTATAGCATATAGCTGCCCGATCAAAATCTTGATAAAGATCTTTTTATACTATTTTATGCTATTAAAAATGCACCTGTGAAGGGTGTTATAGCTTAGGTGCAGCCAAAGTTAACGTTTTTTCTCGCTTTTTCTTTACTTTATTTTATTAATAAAAATTTATAGTTGATTATTTTGTCAACTATTATCATTTAATTAATCTATTAATAACTACGTTTAGATTAAAGACGTGATGTTAACAACCTCAATCATATAATTTTCCGAAAAATTTCAATTGAGTTCCTACAATCTGTAAAACGTCTCACTTTCACCGTGATTTCAAAAAATCACACACTCTTGTTGTTACTTTAATTTTATTAGTATACAATTGGCTCGAAATACATTTTTGAAATATGTATGTATGTTTAGTTTACCTGGTGAAACTGGTGCGATGAATATAACGAAACGAATTATTAAATATCAGCGAGAAGCTTGGTCAAGGCGAGGAAAGTTTTATGTAAACAAGCTATAAAATTATAGTTCGTATTTGTCTTATGTTTAGACTCTCACATCGAGTGTTTCATCCGAACTCTAAGCAAATCGCTTAAAATTATATTTTGTCAACTATTCCCCTCTCCAACAGCATTAGTAATTTTTTATTATATTATAAAGCATAAAAATATATTATTAACAAATAATATTTTTTTGATTAAGACCATTCATAATATAAATAAATTATAATATCTTTTGCAGTATTTATTCGTTTTAACCAATCATTTTTTTGTATGCAAGCTTTTGAACATTTAAACAAACAATTTTTTTTTTCAACACTGTTATACGAACTTAAAATACCCGTTATTAGTAATAAACGTTCCTTTCAGAATTTTCCAAAACGATTTGAAACCAAACGCAAATGTTTGCCAGTCAAACATGATTTTATAGCCCCCCATTTTAAAATTATGCCACAAAATACAATGTTTTAAAGAAAATTTTCGGGACAAAATTACATAATATAATCATGTGCGGTAAAATACCAATAAAAAAATCGTTAAATCTACCGAAAATGAGTATACTACGTAACTACGTTGTTTCCTTACAAAAGACTTCATGCATAAACATTCTTATAACAAAAGCTACTGGGTTGTAATTAATGGATTTTGCAATAATATTTAAGATAAAAAAATATGCATATTTTTGAAACAACGATACTGATAAAATATCGTGCATAAGTAACTCCCACAAATACCATAAATGTAAGCATGTAACTCGGTTAAGTTCGTTGAAAATCACATAAAAAAATCGAAACAATCCCCACCGATTGAAACTTCCAAATGCCATTTGCACACCTGAGCCAGTGAGTATATCTTTGCCATATTTTTACATATGTATGTAAAACGTGAAATGCACTTTTAACACATACACTGTTTTATCAGGCTATATGTAAGCAAAACCAAACTATGCTTATGTCATGTAATATATAGTACAACAGCAATGCAATATGTGTGCTATTTAAATATTTAGTAACATTTAATTTAAGTGCAAAAATAACTTTTAATACATACTACATAATTATTATTTAAAAATGTATGTGAATTATTCTTGTTATTATTTATACCAAACTAAAGATAGTCAAATAAATATTAATCTTCTCAACTGCTCGGTTTCTCATATTCTTCTTGCGAACAAATGACACCCCAAGCTTGGCCTAGTTCCACTGAAACTGTACTCAGAATAATTATTTTTAATTTAATAATAATTTTTTTTATTGTATACAGTATAGGGCTATTGACTTACTTTTCATATTCAGGAATTTCAAAAACTGTATTAACAAGGTAATAGACAAGGTATTTGAATGAACTTCCTTTTTAGTTCTTACCTTAAGTATTTGTATGACGTAAAGAGAGGCATTTTTTCAAATATGTATATCATTATATGATTCTTCGGTCGCTTGATAGCTAATACTTTGTCAGTCTTACCTATGGCCAGATCGCAGTGCAGCCTAGCTGCCTCCGCGGTTGAGGAGTCGTTCTAAAACTGTTTTGTTTCGCAGACCCAATTTCTAGATTAAATAGTTAGGTGAAGCTTGTATTCCTTTCAGTTTCCAATACGCTTGGCTTTGTTAAATAGCCAACGAATTGATTTCCTAAGCTGCGTTTACTCGACTATCAGGGACAGTTTTGCTTTTTGGTGATCGACTTTAGTAGGCAGCCGCATATACAAGGTGTCCAAAGTAAACAGGACTTTAAAAAAAGGCAGAACAAATGGTTTTATCGGCAAAATCAATTAATTTTATTTAAAATAGTCTCCTTTTGCTTTAATACAGCTTTTTGCACGGTCCAAAAGCATGTCGAACGAGTGTTTTAGCTCGTTGCCCGGTATGGCCGCCAGTATGCCGGTGCAAGTCTTTTGAATGGCCTCCACGTCTGCATAACGCTTTCCTTTCATCGGCAAATGCATTTTTACGAAAAGGTAGAAGTCGCACGGTGCCATATCAGGTGAATACGGGGAGTGGTTGATTGTTAAAATATGATTTTTGGTCAAATAATCCGCCACAAGCGTCGATCGATGAGACGGCGCATTATCGTGCAACAAACGCCAACTTCCATCTTCGCGATATTCGGGCCGAACACGTCGAATACGGCGCACCGAATGCTTCAAAACTCCAAGGTAGAATACCGCATTAACGTTTTGGCCGGGTGGAACAAATTCTTTGTGGACAATACCCTTGGAATTATAAAAACAAATTAGCATTGTCTTCACTTTTGACTTCTCCAGGCGCGATTTTTTGGGTTTCGGCTCGTCCGGCGCCTTCCATTCAGCCCTCTGGCGTTTCGTTTCGCGATCATATTGAAAACACCACGTTTCATCACCAGTAACAATCTTGTAAAGAAAGTTCGGGTCTTTTTTGCCTCTTTAATGACGTCCTTCGAATGTTGAATTCTGAGCAATTTTTGGTCGTCAATCAATTTGTGCGTAACAAACCGGATATGAATTCACGCACAGTTTCGATGGAATTTTCGGTGATCACGGATTTTGGTTGGCCCACATGTTCATCGCCATTTATGTCTTCACGACCACTTTGAAAACGCCATAAACTTGTTTCATCAATTGAAACGTTTCGGTAAAAGTTTTACCAATTTTAATACAAAATTTAATGTTGGCTCTTTGTTCGAAGCTCATTTTCGCACCGATGACAAAAACATACTGACTGGCTCCAAATCAATGAGTGACAATCTTACACATTCATTTTTTGTATATTGAAAGCCGAAGCCTCTCAGCCTCTATTGGTCATTATTCTCGATAGAGCATTATAGATTGTGTTTTCTTTACCGGAAGTATACGCTAGGTGTCCGTTAAATTTTAATTTGGAGTCTAGTATTACTCCCAGATACTTCAACTGCGGCTGTAATGTAATCTCGCACTCCCCTATAGTGGGTGATAACCTTTCTTCCACCTTCCTTGTGCTTATGAGCAAGACTTCCGTTTACCTCTATGAGGTCATCCGCAAATGCTTTTGTTTTTCACATATTCTTAGTACCCTATCGTACATTAAATTCCATAGTAGAGGGCCTAAGACCGAACCTTGAGGTACTCCACTCGAGATAGTGTAGCTCTGAGTGCCCTCGTCCGTGTCGAATAACAATCTTCGATTTTCAAAATAGCTCATTATATTATTTACGAGATTTGATTATATTTGCCCTCTTTGCGGGGTTGAACGCATTCTATATATCCAGGATAATTAGCGCGCACTTTTTTGTGCCATCGTTCCATCTTTTGCCATTTACTGCACATTTGGCAGTATCAACCACTTCTCTAAATGCGTCAAGAGGGGACCTCTTTTTTATAAAGCCCTATTGTCTTTCTGATAACCCGCCGCCGCAGTTTAATGGAGTTTATGCCCATCATTGCTTTCAAAATAATTACTTTTAGCGCCCAGCGGGTAATGAACTAAACAATGAAAGTATTGGGCCACCTTTAACAATTGAGAGCAATACTTGCGGTTCTTGTGACAGTTGTCATATAAAAGAGCGTTCTTCGATTATTTATAAATATCAAAACTTATAGTAGAAGATTGCAAAGCGCTATAACATTAACGAAACAAACTGTCAGATATTCATAGAAATTGTAAACTAAGTCTTTTCTACTTTCTTTTATAGCGTCACGCACAATTGTATTTTTCTGTCAAAGGCATTCTAAAAAGTAAAGGGACAAAACCGTCGTAGTATCTATATCTAACATTCTTTACCATTACATCTAGCGCAACAGCTATTTATCATTAAGAATCAGGAGAAACTGAGTTTTATGTTTATATGAATTTGTTATAATGAAGAAACAAAATTTTTTAATCTTTTTGTATTGATTCTTACGCTGGATACCTGTTTTTTTTAGTCATATTATAGTAATTTGTTTCGATAACGCTTTAAAAGATCTATGCACATAAAGAATCAAAGTAAGATAGTTTTTTTTTTTGGTTTATCGATAAAAATTATATTAAGGCGTATAAAATTATTTCTTAATAATAATTATTATGAATTAGGAGGAAAGTAAACTGTAACTGATATTGTCCTTATTTTCTCTTCTTCAAAATTTGTTTAGTCATTAGCTGTCTTCGAGTCGCCAAGCGTTACTCTCCAGCGAATCGAACAAACTATACCAGATGCTAAAAAAACGGGCAGCACTTGTGGTGCAACCCTGCATGTCTTCTGACGCATACGCAATAGTATTATGATTCTTTCTTAGTGAAAAAATTATTTATTTATTGTTTAAAAAAAAACGTTGTTGTAACCCTTTATTTTTGTATTCTATAAATAATTTCTAGTTGATTTTAAGTCTTAAGTTTTAAAAATACAAGAAACAAAAACAAATTTGTATTCTCATTTGAACTATTCACAATAGTAAAACTGATCTAAATCATGCAAAATAAAACTTGGTAGCATTGAAGATAGCGGCTATACCACTTTAATGAGGTATTCGCATACTCTCTTGTACGAATTCAACTCCATAACTTTGTTGTTGCTTTTCCATGTAATGTTTTTGACAAGAGAGTAGAAACGAGCAGAGATGGCGAATCAAAGACAGCTATCCTTTGCCTTTATTGTGTTCAGTACATCAGACATACTTACATGCATACATATGAATTAATATGTACTACCTGTGTTTGCATATATAATATGTCATAAAAAACTATTCATTTTCAAAAAATTGTGGCAAAACGAAAGCTGGGCAATAAAATTAGTATTCATCGAACTGATGTTAATAACAAAAATGTACGGATTTATACATTGCTAACAAATATTAAAGTAAACTTATGTATATGTATGTACTTAATTTAATACAACCAGGGGTTCCATATAATTCAAATTGTAATTTAATGTTTAATCATAAGGATCAGATTGAAAAAAAATCTAAGTTTTAATCACGAGCAGATGATTGAAAATAAAAAAAAAATTTTAGAAATAACATTTTTTTCGCGTTTGCGTACTTGGTGTTCTACTATTTTAAACTAGAGTTTGCACAGAGCCATCATCAATTATAATATTATAGAGCACAATAAAATTTAAAATTTTTAATCCCAAACATCTTGGATTAAAAATTAGATTTGGGATTACAAAATAAAAAAAAAATTTAATTCAAACGTTAATTCAATTATTTTTTGAAAGCATTATTTGGAACTAGATTTTTAATCCCAAATTTTTTATTTACAAATATTCCTGTTTTCCTGAAAATAATTGGCAACAAATGCAAAATTCAAATAATATTATTATATAATTTCTGATTTAAACCAACTTAGTTATATTACCTCAAATGTATTTTTTTATTTTAGCTTGTACTCTTAATCCGTTCACTTGCAAATAGTAAAGGGGTGAGGCAGGCAGAAAGTATTGAAATGAAATGTGTTTTGCACAATATAGCATATAAATATATGCATGCATGTTCAAAGATATGTCTGAATATTTAAATTGGGTGTTGATATTAGCAAGTTTTTAGTGTGAATTGTACACCATTTCCAAATAAAACTACAACTGCTGTGATTGTTAAGTAGTAAAAGTAGTAAAGTTGAGAAAAAAATGGGAAGAAATGTGCCAAAAATGTTACGATATGAACATAAAAAGGGAAAATTGGGGAACATGTAATAATAATACTTTATTGAAATCAGTTAATATATGCATATAAAAACACAAAACTAAATGTAACTGATAATTAATACTTCTGCAAATACAATAAAAATAACTAACCCAAAACCACAAAAAAATTACCGCGAAATATGTTGAAAAAGTTACAATTGTTATTAGTTTAGAAGTTAACGAAAATAAATAAAATATATAATGCATCTTCAAGTAAAATAGGCGAGTGTTTGTTAAAATATGAATATACAAATGTACGTGGAATAATATATTATTAACACTACCGAGAAAGTATAAATAAATATTTATATATATACATATATATGTTCAATATTTAGACATATCTATAATTGCGCTCGCACATTGTGCACAAAATATATATACAAATATGTATTTATTTAAAATTACATATAATACATATATTGCAATTAATTTGTTAAGTCGTTAAATTTTGACTTCTAAGTCTTAATGTAGACATGTCGCCATTGAAAAGCAGATACTATTTGTCGCAACAGTGCTGTGCTAAAACCACCTGAAAAAGCGTTGGTTAAAGCTGTAATTGTAATAAACTATTTTTTAATGTTGTTATATTTGTAATTGAAATGAAACATGTTTTCACTGCGCATTGAGCTTAGAAAACGGTTGGATACTTGTATTGTATACAAGTTCATATGTACGTTTATTTTAACAAACTAATTTAGTATATAATAAATATGCATTATTCAGATCATACAAGCAAAATATTTTTAACAGCGAAAATTATGTTGTCCATATAGCTAGTTGCACACAGCGTTACGTTTTTACCCATGAATTTTTTTATAGGAAAAAAACATTTTTTACTTCTTTCATTAGTTTGTGTAAAATAATTATCCACATACTTAAATACAATTGTAGCGATAGGGAATCTGAAAAATAATTAAAAATTTGTGGCCACATTTCAGCAAAATAAATACTGGAGAGACATAGTAAATATGCAAGTAATACTATATAAAAGGTTTCTGCGTTAAAAACACTAATTGAACTTCAATATTCCTTTCAGTATATTAAAATTGTCACGCGGAAATAATTATTTCTTAATACTGCAAGCTTTGTTGTTCCTCTTTACTAGTCACTATATACGCGGCTTTATCAAGGATGACTCGATACGATAACATGATACGAAACTTTTTTGGCACAGTTATGCATAGCACTGCCATACATCGGAACTGTCACAAAAAGAATCTGTTTGATACGTTTTGCATGAATGAGGTTACCGAACGCAGAACATAACATAGAAATCTGTTCAATTTTAATTTCTATGCTGTGTGAGCAGCGTTGCCGTTGCGGTCCGATTGGACCAAAAATTGTAGAAATGAAAACATATTAAACATTTTCAACAAAGCAATTTACAAATTCACAAGTTTTTGTGGCGATTAAAGCTCTCCGAAAAGCGAAAATTTCGTAGAAAGTGGTTAAAAATATTCGATTGGCTTGAAACAAACAAAGGAGTGCGTTAAATGTAGCTACATTTATATACATATTTGTCCAAGTGGAAGTTGAAATAAAAACCATTATTTTGATGATAAAAAATTTGGTAGTTTGGCTACAGACTTGGTAGTTTGGTAACCAAAGGTTTTCTCATATGGCAACACTGTTCACTGATTCATTTCATCACTGATCTCTTTGCTCTATTCTCTCATTACGTCTGTTCTGACACTTCAATAGTGTTCCCAACTCTCAAAACTGTTTTTCCTTTAAAACTCCGACAAAAACTCCCTAAATTCCCCTATAAAGAAATTATGATTAAAATAAATAATAAATAATTATTGCATAAGCTATATACTTAATTCTAATAATTTTTATCAATAAATATAATCAAATATTATTGAAATAATATTAAATTTAAAATTATAAATAAAAAATTAAAATCATTTAGCAACATATTTTACTTTTACACATTTATTTTATCTAATGTATCAAGTATCGTATCCTTTTGAATCTGCTATGCTAAACATTAAAAAAAAATTCTTACATATATCTTTAACGTCCGATAAGTTTATGGGCACATGTTTATGTGCCATATCGTGAAAATCCAAATCAAAGTACATTGAAGAAGTCGGTGCAACAAACATTTTTATAACACAAATAAAGTTTCAAATAGTCTAGTAGGTTCAACGTTATAACTTTCGAATATATTAGAAAATAATAGCAATACTTGTATATCAAATTTTCTGAGCGCCAAAAGATGAGAGTGGCCCAACAATTTGCATCGCTTTGCTTTACTACACCTCGTATAGAACGTTATCTGTAACTTATTTTTTACATATTTCAGTTAAAAAAATTAATATTCAAAATAAAGAAAACCCCTGAAAATACGCTTAAAAAAATCCCATTCGACTCTTTAAGCCCCTAAATTTAGGGGATGTATAGGGATGTATATGCGTTATATAAGCCTACTCGGGGACGGAGCACCTAAAAATAATATCGAAATGCAAAATAACCCCAAGTTTTTTTTATAATACCCAATCCATTTTCGTTCGACAGTGGCATGATTGGCAAATGTTATAAAAAATGTGGGTTTTGACAGCTCTCTCTCAATTCAAAGAGTCTCACATCATTTCATCCTTGTCTGTGCAGTGCTGGGCTATATATGCATAACTGCCATCCCTAAATAAAAGCGGCAGCGGCAAAGATCTGTCGAAAATTCTTCATGCCCAAATATTTCGTATGGCTCATAGCTAGAAAAAATACTTCACTTCTTAACGTGTTGTCAAAATCGTTACTGCTGAGCTTATTTAGGTATGCGCTATACAAAACCTATGGGCATGAGGAATATTTGGCAGTAATTTGTCGTTGCTGCTTTTATTTAGGGATGACAGTTAATGGTAATTCGTTGTTTTGCTTATCATCTTTACAGCATGAACTTTCAGTGCTGCTAAGTTAAACCATGAGATGATGGGCTCTCTCAACAAGCAAAAAGAGGTGTTTCGGATCTCTCTCTCGAAACTCTTTGCTTCGAAAGACAGCTGTCAAAACTCGCATTTTTACAATATTTGTCAGTGATGCTACTTTCGAAAAAATTAGTTTTGGTTTTCAAAAAATAACTTTGGGGTATTTTGCTTTTTGATACTGTTTTTTGGTGCCCATTTCCCGAGTATACATATATCCTGGATACAAAACCCATACAAATATTTCCCATTTATAAGCTTAACTTTAGTTCCACGGATTTCAATATTAAATGTATCGTTCCTTGAAATTTCGCTTCGCACTTATTTTATCAGTTACTTTCAACAGGTTTATTTCTGGCATTTCGCCTTTTTTGATATCAGCTGATCGCAATTCTCTGATCTGCATCGCTACCAACATAATCAAGGAACGCGTTTGATTTGCCTGCTCTCTACTTTGCAATTCGCGCCACTATGATGAACACCGTCTAACAACTACAATTTTTTACAATAAGAAGAATATAGTGGATGTCTATACAGCATCTTTAATAGCCTAAATCTATCCAAATCTTTAGCTGTTGTAAATGAAAACATTTATCCAAATTCCAAGCTATAATAATATCAAAAATAGTAACGCATTATATATGCATTTCTTGGACGCCTCCTTAAATGTATTTTATGATTTTTCACATCCGTGTTCGGTCGTCTTTTTAGCTCGTGGTATCTTGACGATTTTCAACAAATACCATAATAGTTGCCGTCGATTCGCCAAGCGTTAGTGGGAAGCGAATCAAACCAAATATACCAGTTGTTCAAAGAAACTGGCAGCACTTGCGGTGCTAACATGTCTTCTGACGCATGTGCAATTGTGTTTCGATCCTATCTTTGGTGAAGAAATTCTTCTTTCCGCGTCAAAAAACGTTTTAGAAACTATTTATTTTTATTTTCTAGGAACAATTATTAGATATTATTTAGTCTTCAGTTTCAAAAAACAAAACTTATACATATGTATACAACTTTGTATTTTTATTTTTGAGAATAATTTGTCATTTGAGCCATTCGCAATGGTAAAATATGCAAAGCAAAACTTGGTATCATTGAAGCTAGCGGTTATATCACTTGAATGAGGTATCCGAATACTTTGAACCAATTCAAATCTATAACTTTGCCGTTGCTTTTATATGTATGTAATTATTTTGACAAAAGAGCAGCGCGCAAAGCTTTTGCCCATAGAAATGGCAAATCTAAACAGCTAATGCGTATTGCAAGCTTTAAACGTATCAGATAATCATTTTTACCTCCAAGTGCATAATCGCTAAATTTTTTTAATCTGACACACGGCTATTACTTTTTGATTAAGTTAGCGAAAAATCGATAACTTTTGACAAATTTGAAAAGACGGACTTACACTAGCCGAATATTGAAGCATTAAACACATCGAAGGAAGCAGGCGCAGGCAGCATCTGTCAAATATTAAATTACACACGTTCTTACTGGCACAGTGTTTAATACAGCACGACCACAGAAGCATAAAATAGCTCTGATATATCATTTGCAGGGCTGAGCACAACTACAACCAAATGAGTCTCACAAAATGACATTGTGTTAGTGCGTTTACAGTGTGACAAAGCAAATCAGCGGGTCTACGCCGGACTGAATATGTGCACGTGCAAATGAATGTATCAAAATTAATATTAATTCAGGTTGAGAGTTTATCGCGTAAGAATTAATTTAATTTCACCAACCCGTTCAGTCAACTGCTGATTGCAGACCATGGATAACATGATACGAAATTCTTTGAGTTGAGCGCTGTCAAAGTATAAATTTTTTATAACATTTAACAGTGGTGCCACTAAGGAAAGGAATAAGTTATGAGATGTTTTAATGTATTTCTTAGATATTTTTCGGTTTTCATTTTACAGAAACATATACATAATAAAAATTAGTTTAAGAAACTAGATATCCTATATGAGGCCTAAATATATGTTCATGTATATTTTAATCACAGCTGATTTTCAAAATTAAGTTTTAAAGCTCAAAATAAAAAAAAATTTAATATATTAAAACACCTAAAAAAATTTGAATAATGTTTGCGGGGAATTCTAACCAAACTATGTATATACGTTGACTTTTAATACTGCCAAGCAAAACAATACGCTGCGAAAAAATACCCGCTCGTTCTTAAAAATGTATCGTCGTTTTGTCCCATCGTAAGTGCTCGTTTTACGCTCTTCCTTTGCGCGTGTAAGTGACAATCCGTGTGTATCCGTATACGATCACTTACGCTCTTTTACCACATGCTATAGTTTTTCATGTAATAACAATTGATAATTTAAAACAAATAAATCGACTTATTTATTTATTTTTTACTCAAATAATTTAACTTTGACCAAAATATTTAAATTTCATTGAGGTGAAAGGTTTTAATATGGCCACCACGAAATTGTTTACATCAGCTGTTTGATATGTCTCTGCCGTCTTAAAATCTTCAAGAAACTGGCTTCAACACGTCATTTGCAGAAAAGGAAATTTCGCTGTCGCTATGTCGTAAAGCGCAGTCGTCTATAGGTTTAAAGCATGATGTTATTATGTTCTATTCTACCGCTTAATTAGTGACCATTTGCTTTCTTCCAAACGGTAAAATTTTACTTTTTGTTGAGTTGGGATCAAAAAATTACAAAGGGGATGAAAATAAACAAAGTTTACATTTTGCTGTGTCCAATGGAAAGTAAAATTTTACAATTTAAAATATATACATATTCGAAATGAGAAATTAAAGCAAATACTTTCCTTTGCTAATGGTAATACTAATGGAGCTGGAGAAATTGCATTCATTTGAGGATTTGCTTTTAATTTAAAACTTTAGGCAGCGTACTAATCATACTTGTATTGCAATTACGTACTTATATCTTTATAACAATTTTGTGCAAATCATTACAGGATATTTTTATCTTCGTCCAAGAATTATATCTAAGGACTTCAATGACATTATGTCCGATGATAAGAAAAATAACTAGAACGCATTTAATGATCTCTGCTAGAACGTCTACGAAAATTGGGAAAATCATTCCCAAAGTATTAATGGTTGTTCATGCAAATTTGAAGTCGTTTGGTTTTTATTTTGGATGGCTTGTGGTTGACAGTGCATGACATTGAAGCTTTCAACAGCCCTCTGTATGCAAAAAATAGTTATCCACCGAATGGATAATAAAACATACTCATAAGACTTTGGTCCTTCAATTACTGTAACCGAAGATGAAGTTAATTATCATATTTGAATGAAGTACATGAAAATTTACTTCTTGACTCTGTTGACGGCTTAAGAGAAAGAGAGCAAATATTTTCAACTTTTTTGCAAAATAAAAATTTAAGCTTCTGAAATTTAAAAAGTATTTTTAATCAATTTTTAATTTTAAAGATCACAGTACATTGATTGATTTCAAGTAATTTTAATGTTTTTGATACTAAGTAAAACCAAAAGAAACCCATATTAAAATAAAATATGTTATTACGTAACTTTCCTTGGGATTAATAAGATCGCTTAATTTTTTTAACATCATAAATACAAAATTTAAAATCACTTAATTTTTCCTAAGAGGTATACAAAATTAAAATTTTTTATTCATTATAGCTACATACCTATATACTGCAATAAATATAAAAAAATGTAATTCATAAAACTAGGTAGGGGCACTTACTAGTATCTGAATCGAATTCAGACATAATTATATTTATTCACATTTTCATAACTCTGCACATTCCGAATATAGGAATGGTTAGTGGAAATCCGATTATGATGACACTAGTAAACTATCCACATTTATGTGTGGAAAGTTCGCCTTGACAATCTGGCCAAGATCGGCAAGCAATGACCCAACTTGTTTTGTCATTTTTCTATCTCGTTTCATTATATGCTTTTCCAGCTTATGTTATGAACGTGGACTACACGAAGAAAGCCGAGAAGTTGAAGGGGCTGTTTCGGATATGGAAGACAATGGTTCCTTTCTTAATGATACTGCAACCTCACTCCTGTCATTCATATAGAGGGGGTGGTAACTGTCTTTTATGCCAAACTCTTGAGCTGAGTAAAATTCTGACGCTCGGATTCACCACGAAAAATGTCAAAATTTTATTTTCACCTGTCCAAATTTTTAATTTTCTCCGTTTGACACGCAGCCTTAGTGTTTTCGATTGTGACAATATCTCAAATCTAAATTTCAATATTATAAAACGTATACATATGTTTAGTATAAAAGAATTTTTTGTTATCATAAATTTTATTCACCTGTCGAAAATATAATACATATGTACATACATTCGAAATCTTAATGTTTTGTTATTTCTTCCATTCCTGGATAAGAATAGTTCTAGAAAACTTCCATATCAAAAGCAGGTCACCCTCATTTCACTTGTCGGCAAGTTATAAAGATATTGCAATTTTTTGTTTGTTCTAAATTTTTAGGTGTATAAATGCTCTTTAACTTTAACCCTAGTCCGACCTTACACATTAGACCCTCATGGGTGAAAATTTACCCATGTGAAATTATTAATTTGATTAAAAACCCATTTAGACATTCATTTTCGGTTATTTATTTACATTTGTAACAAAAGTAAACTACTGACAATTAGCTCCAGAAGTTGACTTGCGCTTTGCTGTGTCCCAATTTTCTATTAGCAAAGTTTGCGATTGAATCGTTTTTACGCTATTGGTGTTGTTATTCTGCGCAATTTTTTAGGATTGAACAAGCTCAGTCCCAATTCCTCCAAAAATAGTCTGAAAAATTTCTGGGGTAAACCGAAAGCTTCCGAAGTTCTCTTTTGTTTCAGTCAGGCAAGGATGTCTTATTTGCTCTTACAATTCTCATCAAATTTTTTTCTTTTTGTAGCAACTCCATAGCAAGATTGAAGGTTGTAAAAAAATTGTCGCAAATAACGTTACGACCTCTTAGGCTCTTGCTAAGTCAAAAACATCTCATTGGGCTTAATTCCTTTCTGATAGCGTACCTTGAAGTTCGCCTGTATAAACTTGCATATTCCAGGCAAAACTGGCTTTGCTGTCACGAAGCGCCTATACTTCGTGAGCTTAGTTGGAATCAGAGATAAAGAGATGCCCAACTTATCTCTCACTGGAAATGAGAGCGCAATTGCTAAACGTCAAAACCTCCTGAGCTCAGGCAACTGTCGAAGATCAGGAGGTCTGACGTTAAGCAATAGGAAAAAGAGGGACGCCTAGATTGAAATCCTACAGAAAAATATGTGAACAGAGAGATTTGTTGCTGCTGTTGAAGATCACTAACGAAAATTGGAAAACAATGAAAATGAAGGAAAATGCGAAATTTAAATGTATGTGATGAAATATTTTGTGATGCCATGCTTCATTGTATTAATTTTCTATTGAAAATGATAAAAGAACATTTACTAATTGAGAGTTGATACATATTTTCATTATATTTTAAGGCTTGAAATATATATACTGCTTGACTGATCATTTTCCTCGGAAAGCTAACAGTTGTTCATCAACTGTAACATTTTAATATGGCATGTATAATAGCTGTTGCTCTTAAATCCATTTATTCCATAGCTCTCTTATAGGAGCTAACTTATCTTGAGTTCGATGTTCTTGACGCGTACTTTTATTAATAAATCTAATCACACGTGATATCATCACACATTTTTTCTTAGAAATAAACACGGAAAATTGGTGTTCCTCTGACTTCATTCCACAAATTGTTAAAAGTTTCGACGTGTGATTTGTAAAAACCGCCTAAAATTAAAAGACCAATATAAGATTCAATCGGAACGTAGTCTACAGTCTTCCAATGGCCTCGGAAAACTCCGGAACCTTCAATGTTAGTTTTTGCAATTACAATTTTCAACATTGGAAGAGTGAATGATACTTGAAAACCATCACGCATAGACGACGTACGTACGTACGGCTGGTAGCATAACGGGTTACACTACCTTGCCGGATGGTACATTCTCAGACCTTACTCTTCTATGGAGTTGAGGAGGTTCCGTGGACCAAAGTATATACTGATCATTTGACTACGCTATACAATTTTATCCAATTAGTTCTATGACTTCTCTATCATAATCATCTTCAAAGTTACATTCATTCAAGGAGTTCTCACTTTCATGAAAATCGGGAACAAAATATTCTTCTTATTCGGATTCAACATCAACAGCCTCGTCACTTTCCGCAAGAATTTGTTCAATGGCATCAACACATAAATGCTATGCACAAATAAATAATGTTGGAGCGATTCTTAAATAATGAACCTTTTTCCTTACCTGATTTTGAGAACACATGCTGATTGTTTTTTTTTTGCAGAGACATTATATTTTTTATAGAAAAACTTTGCTTTTCTAATTACAATATTAACTATAGAAGCTACAAAAACGCATTAATTTAAAATATTTTATTAATTGAGAATTTTATACAACTTGTTAGCCCACTAGGCTATTTGCATTTGCTATGCATACATGTATATATATCCTCATATTAATATTTGAATAAATACTTTGAAAAAACAGTTTATATCCACTTAAGAATTTATCTTCCATTTTATTTTTCTTTGCATATTTTATGACATATTGCTGTAAGATGTAAAAATTAATGAGAGATTATTAAATATTTCCTTTACAACCCGTCATATGTTCATATAGATATTCTAAAGAGGACCAAACACTTCCATTTAGACTTACAGCTTATCCAATCTTTAGTCAATTAAAATGATTTTTCGATTTCTCTACAAAAATATATGCACATTTATATCTGCTAATCAACTACAAAAATATTATCTTTACTTCTTACTTAAATATTAAAAATGCAGAAGAAGACAAGTATATTTTAAAAGTATAATTCCTTTATTGAATGGAATAAATAATAACATAAATAAATGCATAATTACGAATAAATATCATATTTTATAACTTACATATTTTATATGCAAAGTGTAAGGAAAAATAAAATTTTAAAGTGACTCGTACTCATACAGAAAACTGCACTTTAAATAAACAAACTCCCATTACCTTTACATTAAATTCAATGCTACTGAAAGCAAGTCAAAACCTGACCATGCACTACATCCGAGAAGTATTAGGAGTAAAAACTATACACTAGTACACAAGATTTCATAAACCTCCAAGTTCAAGCTAAATGGTTAATTTTATCTATACGTTATATACATTGATATAAAAACGTTGCTAATTTTAAGATACACTAGTAAGGAACTCCAAAGATTAAATGAACACCCGCGTAACCCCTAATTACCTATTTGAACTTGTTTGTTGAACCTAATACTAAAATCAAAAACACATAACTCATTTGGTTGGTCAGACTGGGAGTCATGCTGCCTGTGTGGGCTCCTTAGGGCCGTGGAGGTCCTATCTTGGCCACTCGACTGAAGCGGCGGCGCAGCGCGCGAACATGGTGCAGGTTTCACAGCCGTTGAGGCAGGTGTCGCAGTATTGCGTTGGCAGCATGGGGCCACGTAACTCGTGGTCCATTCCCTATGGGTCTTAAGGCCTGAGCAGGTTTAAGATGGCTCCATCCAATGCATGTATTGCACCTAACCGAGGTGGAGTTTGGATGGAGCCTTCTAGCGCAAACGCAGCAGAAAAATTCCTCAGGGCGCGGGTTGGACTCGATGCCAGCACTGGTCAGGAGGATACGGAGCAACCCTGCTGCTAGGCGTTGCTCCAATGACGACAAACTTAAACTAGAGCTTACCGATCCGAACAGGGTTAGATCGCCGAAATAACAGCCCTTGGCCGGATAAAATCCGGGTCAATTCCGGTAACATAGAACCGGCTGTTGTGGGAATTGATAAGGAATGTCTCGGGATGGTCGGTTAGAAACCCCCCAAAATGCTATTAATTAAAAATGCTCCCTTACTCATACATAACATTAGATTTTATCAAAAAAAAAAAAACTATATTACTCTTTCTTAAATGAGTTTGGTAAAAACCATGTCAACACGGATGGAACACTTATTATTTATTTCTTTTAAAAGTATTCGTATTTCAAAATTAAGTTAGCGAAGGAGGTGCTATCCTGATAACTAATTTGTTATTTGCAAATTTTGTAAGCTTATGCTCGAATATTATGGATAACAAATTACATCAACCAAGTATGTTTGTGAAAGCGCTAATCTAGTAACGTGCAGTGTATAAGAACGTTTCCTTTCTGACGTGATGTGTGACAACTGAAAGAGGCAGCAGGAACACCACATACAAATTTTTTTATAAATCGCGGACGCAAACCCAAAATAATTAGTGATATGGAATATAATTTATATACCAAAACACACAGTTATTTTCAAATTAGTTCTATTGTTCATTATAGATAACGGGACTTGACAAATATTTGAAATCAACCGAAATCTTGTAATATTTAAATACTACTAATACCACTACTTCTAACTACTTCCATTTTGTTAATATTTGGTCATATAGACATGTAGTACATCCAAAATTTTTTAATTAAAAAATTCGTAATATCAATATGCTTAATAAGTAATAATAATGAACGACAAAAGAATCCCCGTCTGAACTCCGTTTAGGCTTATAGATTTTACAGCTAATAGCTGTCATTTCATGTTCTGGTCAGAAAATAACCTTCTTTCGGTAAAGTTTACTAGAACTTAACTGACAGGTGGTTGCTAACCAGATATTGAGAAAATCATTTTTAAACATATTTACTAGAACTTAACTGACAGTTGATTGTTAACCAGATATTGAGAAAACTGTTTTTAAACATGTTGCCGATAAAGTTCTGATTAAGCGCTTAACTAAACAATGAGAAAACGGCCTTTAAACGTACTCGCTTTGCGCGACAGTTCATACTGAAACAACGAATCGAAGAAAACAAATGCTATGCCACAACGAACGCTTTTTTTTTTTAATAATAACCCAACGATTACCCTCCTCCCGCCCAACCGACGCGAGGGGCGCAATCCGCATACGTGCGGAATTAGCCGAGTCAGAAAAGGCAAGAGAGTTTTTTAAGTGTTGAGATCTAAAACTGCTCAGCTACAGAAACAAAAATTTCTACAGCTAAGATCTAAAGTTACTAATTTATTATATTAAATTGTTACATTTTCATTTATTAAGAGAGAACAATAAAGTCTTTTTAATTTTGAAAAGTGAGTCAGATAAGTCAAATGTGCTGGAATGAGAATTAAAATCATGACATATACGGCGGAATGGCTCGTTTAGTTCAAAATTTGATCTACAGGATTTTAGCAGTAAAGGTCTAAACTGCCTCGAAAGGCGAACCGGGATATTAAATTTAATTTCAGACAGGAGAAAAGAACTGCAAACAGTTCCATTCAAAAGTTTCACTAAGAATATTATGCCAAGCATTTCCCTACGACTAGAAAGTGTAGGTAGATTAATAAGTTTTAAACGACTAGTGTATGGAGGTAGACTTACCCTAGCATCCCATCGGAAATGCGCTAAGGCGAAAAGTAAAAATTGCTTTTGAACCGACTCTAACTTTTCAGAATGGATTTGGTAGCTAGGGTTCCATACCACAGAGCCATATTCCAATATAGGTCTAACCAAAGTTGTATAAAGTGTTTTAGTAATATACGGATCTCTAAATTCTTTAGTCCAACGTTTAACAAAACTGAGGACAGCTTTTGCTTTCAAGACCATGGTATCAATATGAAGACTGAAATTAAGCTTAGGGTCCATATTAACTCCCAAATCAACATAGTTTAAAACTTGCTCTAGAATATGGTGTTTTATTACATAAGAAGAGGGGTGCACAGGTCTACGGGAAAAGCACATCGTCTTACATTTTTTGAGATTCAATGGCAAATCATTTCTACCACACCATGCAACCAAATTGTTTAAGTCTGTTTGCAACAGACACCTTTCCTCAGTTGCAGTGTATGATTTAAAAAGCTTTACGTCGTCAGCGTATAATAAAATTTTTGAGAATTCTATTACTGAAGAGATATCGTTAATAAACAACAAGAACAGAATCGGGCCAAGATGACTACCTTGCGGAACACCAGAAGAAACATTAATTGTATCTGAAGGTGTATCCTCAAATATCACTCGTTGTGTTCTATTATAAAGATAGGAAGATACCCATTGAAGGAATCTTGGCTGAAAGCCCAGCAGATCAAGTTTATGTATGAGAATCGAGATATTTACTTTATCGAAAGCTTTGCTAAAGTCTGTGTATATAACATCCGTATGCTTATGTTCCCTAAAACCCAATGATACATGGTTTACAAATTCAAGTAAGTTTGTTATAGTCGAGTTCCCTTTACGAAATCCATGCTGAGATGAGGAAATTAACGGAGAAATCGAAAAGGTTATATGGTCAGTGATGATAGCTTCAAAAAGTTTAGGTATAACTGATAGTTTTGCGATACCTCTATAGTTTTCAACTTTGCTTTCAGTGTTTCTCTCTAATAAAAATGGCGACTGTTGCTTGGCAGAGCGTAAAAGGATGAGAGTTGCTCAGCATTTTTCTTAGCTTAGGCTTTCTTACATTGACCTTTTCTGTCAAAACAAATATCTGACGCAAAGCGAAACAAAAGTTCTATGTAAATCAACCTTTACACGTAGAGCAGCAAAACAACCGATAATTGGACCACTCGATATTTTTGATAGGTTACAAAAATAGTATCGACAGTTTTTGAACTTGAAATCTACTTTTTTATCGCTGATTCAAATTAAGAGACCTTGGCTTTGTACCCTTCATTTTTATGAAGTAATCTTTGCATTTATTTATAGAAAGTTACATATACAAATTTTCATCTTACTATATAAACTCCTCTGAGAGCTGTTGAGTTATAAAAAGGTTAGTTTTTTCTACAAACACTAATGCAAAATAAGATCAAGAAATTGCAGTAGCCTTTTTTATTCCTCAATAATCCAATTGTTTTTGTTTGTGTCTCTCGATTAGCGTATAGTGCAGAACAAGTAAAGTTGAAAAAAGAAAAGATCTGGATTTTGAAAATATTCAAAAGATATTTTCGTATACAACTCATCTCATTCTTTCCATTACATATAATATATTTATTATGTGCAAAACTTTCAAGAATCTTAAAATTATTTTTGATTATTAAGTGCTTGCAGCCTACGTAACAGCTGTCGATTTAAATCAATTTTGACAAATAGTTTGTGGGATCAGCTTGAAAGCAAGTTCTTGATCGTGTGACTGCAGCGTTATTCCTTCGGTATAGCAATTAGTTTGTGTTGTAAAATCAAATAGTTTAATTATAAATAATTTTTTCCGTTTCATCAAAAATACAATCACAACATCATAAAAATATATAGAAAAATATATTATATTCTTGCCATCATAAATACATTATTGGCCAAAAGCTCTGAATTTAATGCAAATTTAGTATAAATTAATTAAACAACTAAAAACAAGCTTTACAATCTCATTCCACCATCGTTGCATATGAAAATGTCAAAAAGCATCAACTTTATTTGTGATGCGCGATATTCTCTGTCACTGCGCATCGACTGCCGGTTTAATGCATTTCAAAACATAATCCAAGGTCAAAAATATTTCGTATGTATTACAAAACATTATGATTTGTTTTTGTACGTTTTCGAAGTCAACCAACTTTTGATAAATGTTTTTGTCTAGATTTTGCTTCTGATTTTTTCGCTTCAATTATTTCAGTAGTGAAAGTTAGCACTTATATAACTACTGAGCCTGTTGTTTGCGGTGCAAAAAGAATGTGTAAATGATGTTCGATATTAAATCGAATGAAATTATTTGCACTTTGTTGTAGCGACTTTCGACTGCTGCCCTGTTTTAAGGGCTGTATGAAAGATTGATAGTCTGCTGTGCTGACCTGTTTTCAACCCCTTTAAAACGCTGATTTTTTATAAAACTTTTTGCTATACAAAATCCATACATTTGTAGATTTTTTCTAAACTTTTTAATATTATATGTACAATAATTCCTACATACATGAACCCATTATTTGCATGTCTTTATACTTACGTAAGTGGTTACAATTTGTTTCCGCTTATCAAATGTGCAACATAAATAAATTCATAAAATATTTCGTCATATAGCGAATTTTTTACAAATATATATTTTTTCTTATATATTTACGCAGAATTTCGTCTTAATTTATTTTTTATACCGATACTCAATAAAATCTAAATATTTATTTTGTAATGCAATACGAGTGCCTCTTTGTCAAATAGGTAAGCAGCTTGATGTGCACGATTCATACACAGTGATGTTTAAATATAAGCGCGTTATTGCTGCAAACTAATAAATAAACCGGAAACCTTATTTGCTCATATGTGGAGAAATTAGTATAACAATGTCACAAAAACGCAAAACTTTAGGAACTTAAAGATATACACAAACAATTTTAACTTAATTAAAATTTAAAATTAACTATAAGTAAAACTAAAAAATGAAAAATCAACCCACCTTAAAATTACATATTCGTTATATACCTGATAAATTTAATGAAACGAATGTTAAAGATAACCAAACATTAACGTTGTATTATAGTTTTTATTAATATTATCACCGAGTAAAAACACTGTTACTTGCATTACAACTGTCATAGTAATAATAAGAGAAATTATAAATTATAATAAAAATAGAGTAATCATATGTGTAAACGATAATAAAAAAAGTATAGAAAAAAATATATGTAAATATATATACGGATTCGTAATTGCAAATATAAAAGCGTTCATACATACTTATGTACATATATACCTATTTATTAATGAAGTAGTAATAATTAAAAAGCATAAATAAAAATCGATCGAAAACCAACAAATCCAATGCATAATGGCATACATATATTTATGCTAAATACATATGTTACATGTGTTATAATCAAGCTTAGATATGCATGTGCATATAATCATATATTGAAATATAGATATGTATGTATATAAAATGTTAAGAGTATTTTAAATGCATATATACTATAGACATAACATGTTTTGTTTTATACTAATTGTGTATAGGAAAAATGTATGTTCGTTGGTTAGCTAGAAACCTCAGTATGAGTTCTCAGAATTGAAGCAACACTTTTTCCAACAAAAAAGCCCTGCAAAAAAAGTGACAAGTCCGCGATTAGTCGCAAAGGAAAATGTGCCTATTGGAACTCTTGATCTTTTTACATACATGGTACGAACTGCTCCCATTTGTACGAGCGTGTCCTATAAAAAGACTAATAGTACCCTTTATACACACGATTTGCCAAAAGTAGACTAATTGCTTTCATGTTTTTTTTGGTCTAGTCACATTTTCTATTTTTTTCTTATTACTTTTAAATAAGTTCTAACATTTTACATCTAATATTCCACAGATAAGGGGAATAACATGGTTTTAATAATAATATAATAAAACTGAGTACAAGAGAAAAGAAAGGTAACCAAAAGGCAAGAATACATACAAATTTACTAAAAAATTATATGAAATGTAAAAAAAACAGAAGCATCAAGGTTAAATATTATAGTACACATATACATCATGCAAAATGTATGAGATCTACCTACTAAATTGACGTTCGGATAAATGTTTATTCACATTACCATGAAATAATATTTTGATACATGCGTTACAACTAAATATACATATGTATGTATAAATGTTACCAACTTTTTCGAAGTAATAGCTCCATCAGCAAATGATCCCTACAAGAACAGTGACAGTCATCTGACCAGTAATATGACAGTGACAGCTGAAAAAATTTCGTCAGCGCGCAGAACAAAGTTTCTATCATATTCTTAAGAGCCTTGTGCAAAAACTGATGTAAACAAACCCATGTGTGTGATTTTGCATCTCCCTTTAACACATAGATATTCGGAATTGATGCACTATATATCCATACTGCTCACTCTCATGCCTTTTCCTAAGTCATTGCTCTATCTATCAAAGCTGAAAATTGTCATTTATGACTGAAAAGCTATCACAAGTGAAATATTCCTTTGCGCAGTATACAAAACAATTTTTATTTCTTTGATAAATTCAAAACTTTTAAATAAAATTAGTTAAAATAATATACGAGCACATAAATATAAAAAAGGAGTACAACATAACTATAATTAAGTAACAAATTATAAAAAACAATTTCACTTGATTCCATGCTGGGTACTCTCAAATGCTCTGCTGTACGTGTTTCTCCAGTTCATGGATATTTCGGTATCTAAAAATGCCTTAATAAAAATGAAAATTTACTAAGAATATAATTTTATTTGAAACTCAATAATAACTAACGTATATCAAATTTTAAAACTCCTTCGTTATTTATTTATTTATTTTTTAACACAAAAAGAGTTATTGCACAAGAGCACGCAACACCTATACATAGGTATTTTACAACTTCTCGAAACTTCTATGGTAATGTGTGATGTCTCTTTTCGACGTATACATAATTTGCTTTTGGAAAAATCGTAAGCAGTCATTTTACTGTTCATTTGACTGTCAGTGGTGACAGTACTAAAGAATGCAACTATTTCATTTTTACATATGTAAAGCTATAGTTAGCAACATAAATCGTAAGAGTCTCTTTTTGACATTAACAGTGACAGTCAATTGCCGGGTAAATTGAGCGTCGGTACTGACATATCAAATGTGAGTGTATTGGTGAACCCATCAGCAGTTTCTTGTAGGGATGTGTACTAAACACGTACACAAGGGTTTCGGGTAGTTAGGTCTAACAGAAGTTGATAGCGTATGACTTACCCGATAGTTACAGGCATTCTGAATAGAATTTGTAAAAGTCAATAACATCCCGATACAGCATTTGTGTTTCTATAAATACTTACGGTTTAAAAAAAAATGTATAAACTAAAGCCGAAAATTTACCAACTCGACCATTGTGAGTACATAAAAAACATTTGTTCAAGATTTTAGTCAAAATTTATGTGAATTTAAGGAAATTATTTAATTAATAGTTCGAATACAGAAATATTAATCAACAGTTCACATATCTAAAAGAGATCTTGCAACCGTAGATAACCCAAAGGTAGCATTTTATTGTAAGTTATAACTGAGAATTGCCAGTATGTCGGCTGTTACTAAAATCCCTGTGATTATTATTTAGTATCTTATTTTGAAATTATGTATATCCGAATTGTGATTGCTTGCTGAATTTTTTAAAATGAAGTGTCAATTAGGAAGATAATGAAACGTAAGGGTCCAATGCGCACGAATTTCGCCGAAAAAAGAAACAATGATTACCCCTCCCACTAAAAGTAAAATTATCGAGCGTTACTACCCACATAACAGAACAATTTTTAAAGTGAATTTGTTGTATTCTACAAGACGCACACCATAAATTATAGCAGACGTTAATCTCAAAGTATTTCTATTATTCATGTTTATTGTTTACATATTATATTATATAATTTAGCATTTATATCTTCATGTTTTAAAAAGATTTCCTGAAGCAATGGAGAGAAATTTTTTTTTTAATATAGATTGCTATGCAATAAAATTTAGGATATATGAAAATTCAAAACATTATGCATGCAAAATATAAATAATGAAAATAGAGTTTGTTCAAAAAATTATATTAGTATAAATAAATATTGCAGTGATTTGTTGTTACATTTAAACTGTTAAAAGTGTTTAATTTAAGTTTGCTAAAAACAAACGATACATTTGATGTAATGGAGACGAACAATTTATTAACGTATATACAATACATACGCATATATAAATGCAGTAAACTAAATCAGATATTAACACCTCTATTACGACTCTATAATAGTGTACGACAACAGAACATCAAATGTACTTAACGAGTGAATATCGACTACCTACCGCAAGCAATTGATCTGTAGCCATTTTGTGTATAGTTTGTGTATTATTTGGTGTATATTGTGAACTATCAAAATGAATATGTGAATGGGTGATCTATTTAGAGGTTCCCTGCTTTTTTAAAGAAAAAAAACACAGAAAATTAAACTTTAATTGGGAATGTTTGTTATTTTTCGAAAGAACATTCTTTGGAATTTATTTTTTTTAGATTATATTTTTCAAATGGTGGCCGCAGTTACGTCTCAGATGGTTCATCAGTTGAGTTTAATTTTCAATGACTCGTTCTAACATTCCGACTGGTAACTGGCGAATGACCCGCGTGATGTTTTGCTCCACGGCCTGAAAAAGTCTAACGGTGTGATCTTGGTGGCCAATCCACCGACCCAAAACGTGAAATTATCTGCTCTCCGAAGTTTTGGCGCCGTCTTATTGAAACCAAAGGTCGCCAAGACCACGAGCTTCAATCTAATTTTTTAAGAAATATAAACCGACGATTCCAGCGGCCCACAAACCACACCCAACCGGTTGGATGAAATGGTAGCTCTTGAATCTTTTGAGGTTGCTCTTTGTCTCAAATGCGGTAATTTTGCTTATTTACATACCCATTGAGCCAGAAATGGGTCTAATCGATAAACGAAATTGGCTCGAAAACGTCGGATCTTCTTGGAACTTTTCAAGATCCCATAGAGCAAAGCGATGTCGCTTGGGAAGGTCGAGCGGCTTCAGTTCTTGCACAAGCTGTATTTTGTACGCTTTCAATTTAATATCTCGACGTAAAATGCGCCAAGTCGTTCCATACGTCAGTACAAGTTGCTGCGAACGGAACCGAAACGACTTTCCACGATCTTCGTGTACACTCTCAGCTACGGCCGCGATATTTTCTTCACTGCGTGCTGGACGTGGTCTATTCGGTCGAATATTATCCAATAATGAATCCTGGGTCTCAAGATAGGTGATGGTGTTGCGAATAGTACACTCAGTAGGCCGATTATGTTGACCATAAGTTGAGCGAAGCGCGCGAAACACATTCTTTACAGAACGTGAACTTTCGTAATAAAGTTGAATAATTTGTAAACGTTGTTCAGACATAAGTTTTCATTGATGATGATGTGCCAAACAATACTGAACAAAAATAACATGACAGCTTGACACGACACCTGCGTGATCTACTTGGATCACCCGTTATTATTAAATATTATCAACTTTTATTACAGCAGACAAAACTGTCAAAATAAGGAAACAAGCGCAGTTGCCTACATTATTTTGCAAATTTTAGAGTTTGAATACATTGAAGACCTTTATGTACTCACGCTTCTAACTGAATAATTTACCAACATGTATTTTATAAATTGTTGCCTTTTAAAGACTTGGATTTTCCTAGTAATATAATACTTGCTTTTACATATTATGGTATTGAAATAATTACAATTTTATATAATTCTTCTTTATCAGTAAATTATTTTATTTTATTAAAGTGAAAACGTAGCATTCATAAATAAGGTTTGGACTTAGCAGATATTTGAAAAAAGAATTAATAATTTGAGTCATTGATCCAGTTTCAACCGAAGCTCGTTGGAGATTCATCTAAAATCAATCAGACAAAAAAAAAATGGTTTTATTAATAGATAATCTAGTTCTTGATCGAAGCTTCTTGAAAAATTTTTTATATTATTAAAGATGCAAAAAAAAAACAAAATATATTTATTGAATAATAATAATTTATTATTTGTTTTTAGTTTAAAATTAAGAGCTGATGAAACCAAGTTATATGTTCTTATATACGTTAAAATATTCATATAGCTAAGCAACACGTTCTGAGCGAAATAGTTGTTGCAATATTGCAGCAGATTATCAGCAAGTATCAAGTTAGTAACGGGTTTGCAGTGTTGCGGTAATTATTAAGCAGCTCGAACACACCCATCTTCTTTAATTATTACACTAGGAATAGGGTATATAATATTAAATTTGATACGAAGTTTGTTACCTAATACAAATTATATATAAATGATCAGCATGACGACTGTGTCGATTTAGCCATGTCCGTCTGCCCATCTATATAAACGCTTACTATAGATCTAAAATTTTGCACACGTCCTTTTCTTTCCAAGAAGCTGCTCATTTGTTGAAACCGCCGATATCGGACCGCTAAAGCATATAGCTGTCAAACAAACGATAAAAGTTAAGTTCTTGTATGGAAAATTTGTATATTTGACAAGATATCTTCATTTATATTTGGTTTGGATTATTGTCCATGGCAACGCTATAATATTAGGTCAAGTAAAAAGTTCGTTCGGTTTTTATCTAAGAGATGGCGTTACTGTCCATAGTACTAGTGTTACGTGTCACATCATGTCATACTATATGGCGCTGAAAACGTGTTAATTCGCGCTTAAAGTTTGTCTTTGACAGTTTTTCGAGTGATTTACTCAGTTTGTTGTGAGCGCTCGTCAAAGATGGACACCAACAAAGAGAAATATATATTTATATTTTACAATTTTTCTTCGATCAAAGCGAAAAAGCAGCCAAAGCGGCTGAAAACATTAATTTAGTTTATGGGCCCGATACTGTAAACGAACGTGTAGCACAAAATTGATTTGCTAGGTTCCGTTCCGGCAATTTCGATGTCAAAGATGCACCACGCGTTGGGAGGCCTGTCGTCGAAAATTGCGATAAAATTATGGAAATAGTGGGAACAGACCGTCACGTGAGCACTTATTTAATTGCTGAGGAACTAAAGATAAGCCAGAAAACCGTTTGGAACCATTTGCATAACCTTGGATTCAAGAAGGAGCTCGATGTTTGGGTGTCACACGAACTAACGCAAAAAACATGATGGACCGAATTTCCATCTGCAAATCGCTGCAGAATCGCAACAAAATCGACCCGTTTCTGAAGCGGATTGTGACTGGGGATGAAAAATGGGTCACTTATGACAACAACGCAAACGGTCGTGGTCAAAGCTCGGGGAAGCGGCCCAGATGGTGGCCAAGACCTGATTGACGGCCAGGAAGGTTTTGCTGTGTGTTTGGTGGGATGGGCAAGGAATCATCTACTGCGAGCTGCTCCCCTATGGACAAACGCTCAATTCGGCCCTCTACTGCCAACAACTGGACCGCTTGAAGGCAGCACTCATCCAGAAGAGGCCATCTTTGATCAACAGAGGCCGAATTGTGTTCCATCAGGACAACGCCAGGCCACACACGTCTTTGGTGACTCGCCAGAAGCTCCTGGAGCTCGGATGGGAGGTTCTAATGCACAAAGTTATCATCTTCTGAAAAATCAATAAAAAACCGAACGAACTTTTTACCTTACCTAATATTTGAAGAAATTTTTCAGATCGGATAGCTATATATATAATAGTATATATGAACAAACTATACCAATGTTAAAAAACATTGCTGTAACCCTTCATTATGGTTTTTTTTTTTTAAATTACTATTAGTGATTTTAAGTCTCATTCTTTAAAAGTACAAGAAACAAAAAGAAATTTGTATTTTCATTTGAATCATTAACTTACTATAGTACTGGCCTAAAACATGCAAAACAAAACTTTGGTTTTTTTGACAAGAGAGCAGAAGCGAGCAGAGATAATATTGTGCTAAATATTATTAGCATGTTATTGTAGTAATTTTTATCTCATCAGCGACAAAAGATTAACACGAATTATCAAATAGAGTAAATTATAAAATAATGGTATAACATATATAATAATTAGCTGATTGAACTAAAACAATTAAATAAAACAGTTAAAGATTATAACAGTTTTTTATTCTTGGAAATGATGAATCAGACAGTAAGTAAATGTGATTGTCTTAATTTAAAATGCTGAAAACAGTGACCGACACTCCGCCCTTCCGTACTTACCGCCCATATCAAACGAAATTTGTCAAAAGTTATGCCCGTAGTGGCAACGTAGAATTCAGTTGTTCTGTTTTGTTTTCTTTTGCCACTGCTCAATTTGTATACATTGACTTTCATAATGTAAAAGCTCAAACTAAAGTCAACTATTGAAAATAGTCTACCTATTTATAAATAAATGTATTCGACTGTGATTTTGAGTTAGTTTAAGAATATTTTAATATTCGAGTATATTTTTAATTACTACAAAATATCGAGACTAGCAACCCTGTGTCGTAAGAGAGCAATCAGCACACTCGTTTCTACGAAAAAAATTCAAACGGATATCCCACCGGTCGGGAAAAGCGGTGGTGAGTGCTTATTTTCCTTGCGCTCTTTTAAGATAGGTCGTCTCAACTGGTTCGGTCTACGGTTAAATCCTGTGTCATCAAAGCCAATGGTGGGCTTTTTCCCGCCACTTAATACGTTTAAAGGACATATCACACAAGCCACTTAAGTTTAATCGACCAAACTTACTGAGGATAAGTAATTTTAGCATCTCCTCATATTGTGTGCAAATGGATGACGTCGGATGATAATCACTAGTTAACGGCTATGTTGAAAAATACTAAAACTGCAAAGTTAGTACGGAAGGGCGGATTAGAACTCTGTAGAACAAATGGATAGTAGGCGTGGCACTTCCCAATTTTAGCCGCTTGATACCTCAAGAACTACTTCACCAATAACAAAAAAACTTTATGCGATACCAATGTTATTATGAGCGCAACCACATGTACTCATACATACATGCATCAGACTTTTGAATTCCATCTGATTCTTTCACTGTACTTTACATATATCAAGCACCAATGAGAGCATATGAACCAAATTTTGCAGAAATATTGTTATTGAGGTATGCGACACCGGGTCGCCTCGAGATGTAACGGTGGCTTTACTGCGGCATGACGCGCTGTCGCAGATAACTATTAGTTTCCCCTTTATATATTTTGACCACGAAGTGTGCTGTGGCATGCAAGTGATCGTACGAAACGATAACAACAGCACCAACAATACAAAAAGAAAGATTAGCAGAGAAGCAGCCAGATTAGATAACTAAGCAATTTTTTGCCGGAGACTGCAGCACTTTTTGCACCTCCGAAAAAGTACTAAACGCGAGAGCACACAAAGTGATTACGGCTCTGGCTTTACCCAAACATAGCGAAGGAAGAGGTGTCAAGTACAACTCTCCAGACAGCAACCGATCTTCCACGGAGCGATTACACATCA